TGGGGGGAAGCGTCACGAGCGGTGTTCTACAGGAGTCAGTGTTGGGTTCCTTGTTGTTCACAATCTACATAAACGACATAGATGAGGGAATATATAGCGACATAAGCAAGTTTGCCGATGACACCAAAATAGGCCATCGAATTCATTCTGACGAGAACAATAGAGCACTCCAGGAAGATTTCAGACGAATGCCGTGGTCGGAGAAGTGGCAGATGCAGTTTAATATAGACAAATGCAAAGTTCTAAATGTTGGACTGGAAAATATCCATGCAACATACAAACTAAATAATGCAGATCTTAATATATGTGATTACGAAAAGGACTTGGGAGTTCTGGTTAGCAGTAATCTAAAACCAAGACAACATTGCATAAGTGTTCGCAATAAAGTTAACAGAATCCTTGGCTTTATATCAAGAAGCAAAAATAATAGGAGTCCTCAGGTTGTTCTTCAACTCTATATATCCTTGGTTAGGACTCATCTAGATTATGCTGCACAGTTTTGGTCACCCTGCCTTGGTGGGAATCGGCCAGTGTGATAATAAAAATAAAAATTACAGAATGGATATAAATGCACTGGAAAACGTACAGAAGAGGATGACAAAGTTGATCCCATATATCAGAAATCTTCCCTATGAGGATAGACTAAGGGCCCTGAATCTTCACTCTCTAGAAAGGCGTAGAATTAAGGGGGATGTTAATGAGGTTTTTGGGAAAAGGTAAAAATGGGGGGGCCCCCAAAAATACTCCGGACCCAAAAAGGTTTTGTTAAAAATTCAGTTGGGGTATGGGGAACCTTTTTTTTAATGAGTTGGTGGGGGAAAAAAAACCCAAAAAATTTTTGGGTAAACGGGTTAAAAAAAAGGAAAAAAAAAAACTAGGGGGTGGTTATTTGGGACCTACGGGTTGGCTGGGCCCGGGGGGCCGTAAAGGGGCCTACGGGGGGGGTTTTTAAGCCGGGGGGACCCCCCAAGGGAGGCCTTTCATTTTTCCCCCCCTTTGCTTTAGGAGAAAATGAAAAGGGAAAATTGATTTTGGGCTCCCCAAAATTTTTAACAAATAATTAAATATAATTTTTATTTCTCCCCGGGGTGGTTTAGGGGCGCCCCCCCGGGGCGGGTTGGGGGCCCCCAAAAAAATGTAACCGGGGGAATACCCCCTCCCCCTGTGGCCGGTTGGTCCCCCCCCGGGCCGGAAAATAACCCCCCCGTGAGTGGCCTAGTATAAGGTGGGGCGGGTTGGTGGGCCTAAGGGGGGTGGTCTCTGGAGCCCCCAAGTAGGCGGGTTCAGGGGTAAGGTAGGGGGGGGAGGTGAGCCTACTGAGGGGGTTAGGGTACCCCCCCAAGTAGGGGTTTAGGTGCCCCCTAAGGTGAGGGGGGGGGTAAGGGGGGGTGGGGGTGGCCCCCAAGTGGGGGGGGGCCAAAAAAAAAACGGGGAGGGGTTGTGGCCCGTAAGGGGAGTGGTTGGTTGAGTAAGGGGGGGCTGGGGGGTTTAAGGGGGGGGTTAGGGCCCCTAAGGGGGGGGTTAGGGCCCGTAAGGTGAGGGTGGCTCGGGGGGGTGAGGGCTGGTTAGGGTGAGCCCCCGGGTAGGGTGGTTGGGGTGAGTAAGGGAGGGGGTCCTGAGGGGTGAGGGCGGGTTGGGTAAAGGGGGGGGCGGGTTGGGGTGACCACCCTAAGGTAAGGGGTTTGTGAGTGGTGGGGGGGTTTTTTAAAAGGTGAGCCCCCAAGGTAGGGGAAGGTAAAGGGTGGGGGGGGGGTCCGGGTGGGGGAAGGTGAGGTGGTTGGGGCCCCCAATTTAGGGGGGAAAGGGCCCCCCAAGGTGAGGGGGCCCCTTGAGTAAGGTGGGGTGGTTAGGGTGAACCCCCTTTGGGGGGGTTAGGCCCGTAAGGGGGGGTTCTGGGGAGAAGGTGAGGTGGCTGGGTGAGAAGGTGGGTGGCTCGGTTAGAAGGGGGGGGGGTGGGGTAGGGGTAGGTCCCGTAAGGGTGGGGGGTCTAGTACCCGTAAGGTGGGCGGTTGGGATGGGGGGGTGGGTTTCCCCGGGCCCCCGCCTCCGGTGGGCGGTCTCTGCCCCCTAATGGGCCCCTCTTTCCCCCCCTACTTGGGCTGTCTCTGCCCCCTCCGGGGGGCCCCCTCGGTCCCCCCCTCCGTGACGGGCCCCCCCCCCCCCGGGGGGGTCCTGCCCCTGGTGAGGCCTTTTTTCTTCCTAGGGGCTTTTCCCCCCCTTTTTTAAAAAAATTTAAAAAATTTTTTTTTTTTCCCCCTTGACCTGACGTTTTTCCCTCTTTTAAAAAAAACCCCCTGTTTTTCCCCTTTAAAAATTTTTCCCCATTCCCCCTTTTTTAGGGGGGTGCCCCCGGGATTTCTTTTTTGGGTATTTCGGGTTGGGGGGTGGTCTAAATTGGGATTTTCGTTTTGGGGGTCCCTAAATTGGGGTTTGGGTTTCCCTTTTTTGGGGGGGCTTTTAAGGGGGGTGGTGGCCTGTTGGGGTGGGTGGGTCAAATTGGGGGGGTTGGCTCCTTTTTGGGGTGATTCAAAAATTGGGGGGGGTCCGGTTTTTGGGGGGGGGCCCCGGGTTTTTTTTTGGGGGGGAAGGCGGGTTTGGGTGGGTTTTTGGTTTGGGTGGTCTTTTTGGGGTGGCCGAATTGGGGGATGGCTTAAGTTAGAGTTATCTTAATGTTGACTGGAATATCTCTGACTCAGATATGTAGCTCTAATTATGGGTGATTACCGAAAGGACTGGGAGTTCTGGTTAGCAGTAATCTGAAACAAGGGACAACATTGCATAAAGTTGTTCCCTGAAGTTAACAGAACCTTGGGCTTTTACCAAGAAGCATAAATAATAGGAGTCCTCAGGTGTTCTTAGCTCTATATATCCTTGGTTAGGCCTCTATCTAGATTATGCTGGCAAGTTTGGTCACCGTATTACAGAATAGGATATACTCCGGGAAAACGTATACAGAAGGAGGATGACAAAGTGATCCCGGGTATCAGAAATCTTCCCTATGAGGATAGACGAGGCCTGAATCTGCACTCTCTAGAAAGGTGTAGAAGTTAAGGGGATGTGACTGAGGTGTATTAAGGAAGCAGGAATTAATTAATGGGTGATGCAATGGCGTGTAAATATCTAGCCAAGACAGACTCGAACAATGTTTAAGTTGGAAAATTAGTTCAGGAAGTATAGGAAGCATGGTTTGGTAATTAGGTTGTGGTGAGTGGAAACTCCGAGTAAGTATAGAGGCTAAGCTTGTGTAGTTGTTAAAAATAGGTTTGATAAATTATAGGGGTGAGGTAGGGTCTGAGTTGGACTGAGGTGGTTCTACTTGGGTGAGATGGCTTGAAGTTAAGGACGTGAAGTAGGTTGGGGATTGGGTTTAAGCCGGTTAAGGATTGGACCGTATGGCTCTAATTTAGGAGTTGCAGTGTTCTATTAGGATATGTGTCTTCTGAAGAAAAGTGATAGGCCACGTGGTGGTGGTAGGTTTGGGTTTTAAGAAGTAGGTAGGTTAAGTAAATACACAAAAGGCTCATGAGTTTAAGGGTGAGGTGGCCCTCACCTTGAGGAGGTCTAGGTGGCCTGAAGTTAAGTGGGTAGCCTGGTTAAGGGGGTGAACCCCCTCAATTGGGTGAGCCTGGCTCTGAACGCCTAAAGGGAGGTGAGGTGGTTCTGTGTGACGTAGCTCAAAGGGGGTGGAGGTTTGGTTAAAGGTAGAGCCCCTCAAGGTGGAGGTGGGTAGGTTGAAGCCTAAGGAGGTGGGGTGGCTCTGAAGCCTCAGAGGTGAGGTCTCTGGTTAAGGTGAGCGGCCTCGAAGTTGGAGGTGGGTCTCGTGAACGCCTCAAGGTGAGGTGGTCTCATAAACCCGCTCTAAGGTGAGGTAGGTCTCTAAACCTCTCAGGAGGTGAGGTAGGCTCATGACCGTTAAGGTGAGGTTTGGTTCAGGTGAGGTAGGCCTGAAGGGTTGAGGCGGTGAGGTGGCCCTGACTTAAAGGGGGTGAGGTGGCTCTGAAGTTCAGGAGGTGAGGTGGTCTGCGGGTTTGGAGCGTCAAGGTAGGCTCTGGTTAAGGGGGTGAGGGGCCTCGAAAGGGTGAGGTAGCTTCTTGAAGTTAAGTGGCTACTTAAAGGCCGAAATTAAATAATAATTAAGATGTATACTTAATTAAGAAATAGTAATAAGAATTAAGAGGTGATACCCCTTTGAAGTTAGAAGGTTTAATTGAGAGCTGAGGAGTCTGAAGTTGATAGGGAGTAAGCAACAAATGTACACTGAAGTTAAGATGGGGATTGTTAAAGTATACCCTTTAAAAGTTGGAGGAGATGTGGCTCTGAAGTTTGATTCTGAAGTTAGGAGGTGAGGTAGGCTCTGAAGTTAAGGAGGTGAGGTAGGCTCTGAAGTTTCGAGGTGAGGTAGGCTCTGAAGTTAGGGAGGTGAGGTAGGCTCTGAAGTTAAGGAGGTGAGGTAGGCTCTGAAGTTAGGGAGGTGAGGTAGGCTCTGAAGTTAAGGAGGTGAGGTAGGCTCTGAAGTTAAAGGGAGGTGAGGTAGGTTCTGAAGTTTGAGGTGAGGTAGGTTCTGAAGTTGGGTGAGGTAGGCTCTGAATTTTGGGGGAGGTGAGGTAGGTTCTGAAGTTAGGGAGGTGAGGTAGGTTCTGAAGTTAGGGAGGTGAGGTAGGTTCTGAAGTTAGGGAGGTGAGGTAGGTTCTGAAGTTAGGGAGGTGAGGTAGGTTCTGAAGTTAGGGAGGTGAGGTAGGTTCTGAAGTTAGGGAGGTGAGGTAGGTTCTGAAGTTAGGAATGGTATCTGAATCATTCTCTCTGTCTTCTTGCTCTGGAAATTGAAGTTTTTTTTTTTTCTAATTTCAATATAATTTTTTGGGTAAACTAAATCTGGAAAGATCCTAGCTTGTTTTAGAGCCGTGGTTCCCACTGTGGGTGGTAACGCCCCCCTGGGGGCGGTGACAATATCCAGGGGGGCGTTGAGGAAAAAGGGGGTGGTTCTGCGCACAGTTTTACACATGCCATCTGAACAAAGTATCAGAGGTGTTCCTCTCAGTGATAACTTTGTTCCAAGAAGAGTGGATGGAATGGCTGAGAACAATGAAGACACATTGTGCAACATGCTTAAGACAACAGAATTTGGCTTACAATTAGACGAGCCCACTTTGCCAGGCAATGAATCTTTGCTTCTTGCTTATGTTCGTTTCGTCAGAGATGAAAATTTGGTTCAAGATCTTCTATTTGTAAGATAACTAGAAACAGTTGTAAAAGGAGAGTCAGTATTTAGTGTTGCTGAGATTTTTTTCAAAGAGAACAACATCCCACTTACCAACGTTCTTGTTTATGCAACATATGACGCACCATCCATGACAAGCTGTCTTCGTAGCTTCATCACTTTATTGAAAAAAGTGGTACCTGGTGTATTTATAATGCACTGTGTACCACAGGTAACATCTGGTTGCAAAAAAACCTAAGTGGTCGACTTCACAAATCATCAAGGAATATGCTCTCAATTCGCGACTGTTTCGACAGCTCTGCACTGAGAATGATGAAGATTTTGAACGTTTGTTGTTGACCACAGAAGTTAGATGACTGTCAGGGGGAAACTTCCTGAGACGTTTCTATTCACTTTTAAAACAGTTGTTGAATTCTTCCAAGACTACAATTCTGTTCTGTGTGATGAATTAAGAAACATCAAGCATGACATTGCTTATTTGTCACATGTATTCACAAATTTCAACGAAGTTAATTTACAATTACAAGGAAATGAGGTTAATCTTATCAAAGTCAAATCAGCCTTTTCCATTTTTGTATCCAGGTTACAGTTGTTCAAACGTAACAGCCGTCGTGAGCTCTTCCAGTTTCCCAGCCTCTGTGAACTAGAGAAGAAGAGCATACCAGACGATGACCTTAAAGTGTATTGTACACACCTGAATGACCAGCATAAAGACATGACAGTTTTCAAGATCTTTTTTGCTTAAAATATCAGACTGGGTAATCAGTCCATTCCTAGATATGAGCACTGAGGAAACAGGAATGGTGGAGGAAGAACTGATTACACTCCAAAATGATATTGAGCAGAGGCCAAAGTTCAAAAAATCATGTCAAGATTTTGGTTACAAAAAATCACTTCTGACCGCTACCCTGCATTGTGGAACAAAGTCAAGATGTACTTTATTGCCTTCCCAACATCATATTTAGCTAGAGCGAGGCTTCAGTAGTCTTCATGCTTCTTTCCGAGCAAAGAAAAAGACCGAAAATTACTGAAGGTTGGGATCTACGATTTCTTTTGTAGTTCCTTCAAGACCGATGTTGAGAAGCTGATGTTCCTGCATCAGACACATCCATCTCATTAAAATTGTGAAGACAATGTAGTTATAGACGAGATGTAAATTTACCCTTTTATGTTGTTAAATAAATTGGTTTACAATGTTAATTTATATTTGTGAAATAGATACCTTGTTTAGTGTTAGATTTTGCAGTAAACCTGATACCAAGAAAGATGTGTGTTCGTATGTATGTGTGTGTGGGGGGGGGGGGAGCGCTAGGGAGGTGGCCTGGGAGCCTAGGGGGCGGCAGCTTGATAAAGTTTGGTAACCACTGTTTTAGAGATAGTGGTCGAAAGTTTCATGGCCCGGTCTTCCGGTATTCTGACCCAGTAGTCTGGTATCATAGCCCGGTGTCCTGGTATCACTGAGAACCGCTTTGAGGACCACCTACAGATGGTTCGCTCAAGAGACTGCTTACAGATGGCTCACTCAGAGGACCACCTATAGATGGTTCATTAAGAGGACCACCTGCAGATGGTTCACTAAGTGGACCACCTGCAGATGGTCTAGTAAACACGCCACATAGAACACTAACAATACGAATTTACACAGTGACGCCCAGCCTGTGGAAATAAACTGCTGGTGCATGCAGTGTAAAAATGGGCATCAGGCTGTCAGAAATGCCCCGCAGAGGACAGCTGGGGCTGGAGGGCAGATTATAGTCTTCGGGCTCTTCCGTAAATTTTAGCTTGTTGAAAAAAGTAGTGAAATTGTCCTCCATTTTATCCCTGTTCCACTATGAGGCCTGGTCACTGACCGGGCCGCGGGGGCGTTGACCCCCGGAGCTCTCTCCAGGTCTCCAGGTAAACACGTGAGGGAGGTGGAGAACTTGTTCTCTTAAGTGGGCAGTGATTTTAGTCCTGGGGAGATGATGTGGTGGCGGTGGCGGCACTGTTGATGGTGCTGAGGAGGCTTGTAACCTTCCAGTAGAAGACAGGAGGCTTGAAACCTACTACTACACAACAGGAGTCCTGCAATCTTCCAGTAAACAGAAGAACTGGACCTTCCCAATTAACTACAGGAGGCCTGTAACCTCCCAGGTGGCAGGAGTGGAACCTCCCATTAAACGTCAGGAGGCCTGTGACACTCCACTAAACAACAGGAATCCTATAACCTCCCACCGAGCAACGGAAGGCTGAGTGCGAAGTACAGTATAATGGATACAAAACGAGGCACTGGCAATGAACACTGAAAACAGCAGACAGAACAAGAACCTAAGTCACATTATTGATTTTTAAGATATATAAACCGAAGAGAACTGGGATCCATGGAGAACCAGAAGAGTCCAAAGGAAAATTAATGTAAGCGACAATGAAATTTCTGAGTCAACAAATAGAGGAAACGAAAATAAGGTGGGGGCGGGATAAGCCAGATGACGACAGTGAGTTCTCGCCTTAAATGAACATGCCATGGGAGAAATCAATTATGGGGAAACACCGAGTGTCAGTGATCATGCTGACACTCGGTTATTGAACGAGCGAGACGTGTGCTTCATTCTTGCATGAAAATGCAGTGTGACTGGTGCCAGTCTGTCTCGGCTCCATGAAAGTCCAGAGTTGCATGCATGTTGTCTCCAAAAAAGTCTCTTTCGTAACCTCTGCGAGTATATGCTTTGGCTAGCATAAAAAAAAATTATGCATGTGGCTGGTTAATGGAGTTTAAATCTGTCGAGTAAGTTAGGGTTATTAAGGCTGCGCATAACTTCCAAGAAGGAAATACGAAGATATAAGGAAAAAGATATAAGGAAAAAGTACAAGGTGAAAGTGAACTGGATAGTAATGGAAGGAAGGAGGTTGAGATGATGTATATCGCAGTGGCAAAAAAACAACAACAAAAAAAAAAAACTGAAAACTAGGGATTTTTTAACAGTATATAAGAAAAACAATTTGCAAGGTCCAGCCAAGGCAGGAAGCAAGAGAGAGTGGGAGAACACCGAACTTAATAGTGATATGTAAACAGACGTGCTGGCAACAAACATGTACACCCGAATTATATAGCATCAAAGACCACAAAGAAAAGTTATTATATAACGTGTCAGATAAAGAGGACGGGACATCAGAACTGTGATACAAACGCACTTCTGGCAAGACATTAACTGAATGAGTGATGATTGATGTATTTCCTCTTTTTTTTTTTTGTCCCACTGCCTCTGTGGTAGACGGACGGTATATTAAAAACAAATATGAGTGTAAAAGATACAGTAGGAATGTTGAAGGAAGGAATGGTACGCGATCACGGAAGATAAGAGTAAAGTACATGGATAGCTGAGAAGATTCAGAGAGGTCTGTACACAATACTGAGAAGTTAGGACACACTAACACATGCTAGAAAACATGAACATAACCCAGGAGCCAGGCAATGCTTGGCTCTCCCATGCCAAGAATCACAGGATGTCACCGTCAGGCACCACAGCATGGCAGTGCTCTGCCAGGCACTACATAAAATGGCATTTGTCCAGTATAGAAGGTGGATTTTCCCGGGTGCGGCAGGTGGGAGGCATAAAAAGTGCCATGTTAATAATGCCACAGCCAAGTGCCACTTCCTGCACCGCCCGAGGAGTTGTAACGTGGGTGTTAATGTTGTGACCTGCAGTGTAGTAACAATGTTGTGACCTGCAGTGTAGTAACAGTGTTGTGACCTGCAGTGTGTAGTAACAATGTTGTGACCTGCAGTGTGTAGTAACAATGTTGTGACCTGCAGTGTGTAGTAACAATGTTGTGACCTGGAGGTGGCTGTGACAATGCTTACATGGGGTCAGTTGTACATCAGCGGCTGGTTCAAGATTCTCCAAGAGTTGTCTAGTTGATCCCGAGGCTCAGAGGAACACCTAATAAGTTGCCAGTTTTATTGAACGAGCGAGACGTGTGCTTCATTCTTGCATGAAAATGCAGTGTGACTGGTGCCAGTCTGTCTCGGCTCCATGAAAGTCCAGAGTTGCATGCATGTTGTCTCCTAAAAAGTCTCTTTCGTAACCTCTGAGAGTATATGCTTTGGCTAGCATAAAAAAAATTATGCATGTGGCTGGTTAATGGGGTTTTAAATCTGTCGAGTAAGCTAGGGTTATTAAGGCTGCACATAACCTTCTTACCACCGGACAAGAATACTGTCATCCCTAAAACAGGGATTAAAAAAAAAAACACAGCTTATATTCGCTGAGAGAAAAACGCATCTCAGTGTATAATATCCTGTCTCTTATGCATGCGAGGGTTTGTACAGACAGAATCCCCCGACAAATGGCTTCTAATTCCATCATGCAAAATTTTGTGTCATGTGTGTTTCACTTCAGAAGCAACAATGTAATCTAAAGTAAAAATTAAAGTCTGCTTTCAATTCAACCTTTTTTTTTTTTATATATAAGAAGATACTGAAAATATTTATTAAGGAAACAAAGCAAAATGTAAAATAGGAGAGCCAGTTTGACTTTGCAGTGTACCTGAAGTCTGGCACTTGTAAACTACAGGTAAATACGGGTTAAGTCTTGGCTACACACTTGGGTTCCTCTTTCCCACCGCGACCTTGAAGTCGTATCTCTTGTAACGACCTTGGTGTCCTGGTATTTGGATCTGGCAGTCATACAGCATTCGGCTATCAATCGAAAGAACGTGGTTTCGACTCTCGGGTGAGGCGAGAATTATGAAGAAATCTACTTGTACCTGCGGCCTCTATTCATCTAACAGTTATTAGTTATCCGTGTGGTAGGCGACTGTTTTGAGTCTCATATTTGGGAAGAGGATCCCCAAGCGAAATAAATCACGTTTTGCTTTGGTTTTGCTGGGTTAATGGCTCTCCTGGGGCTATTAACCCTGAGGTTAATAATCTTAAGGAACTACTCTATCATCTGAGCTGCTTGTTGGGCCCCAGGGTCAAATTCCAACACCACGCAAGTTATACCTTCTAATCATAAAAACAAATAA